AGCAGGGAATAACTTCATGAAGGAAATGTCTAAGGAAGGAGTTTATTCAGTTGGACAAACCATCTTTTGATGTCAAGAAAGCATTGTATGCCTGAGACCTGGCAAATTAATACAGATCAAACACTGAAGTGTAAATTATTTGGAAGAAGTTCTTCCTTAGGGACCAGCTGTGCTTCAGAGTAGAGAAATACCAGGTTTTGCATATGCACCCTCATGGAAAGTATTAGAGAAGCGGCTTTTCTCAGTTACTGAGGAGATAGCTCATTCCCTTTTGCTGCCTCCCCTGCCACTGCTTTCTGATAGATTGCTGAAACTTATTGAGCTCTTCATGTCCAGTTATGTGCATGAAAAGGATGTTAACAAAATCTTTTGAAAGTTAACAAGAAAATTACATAATGGGAACTGTAAAAAATTATTTGAGCTTGCTGTTAACTATGCTAATGTGATTCTATTGGATCAACACTGCTTCCTGTTCTGCTACAAAGCTGTGTGAAAATGCCTTTAATTTGTTCTGGCATGTGCATTTTGGTGCCTCAGAGCATTTGTGTAGGCTGTTCTGTGATTGCTGATCAGTGGGTTCTTAACTAGAGCAATTCTTTTTTCTACTAGAACTAACTGTCTGTTCTGTTTTGGGTTATGCTTTTGTCCAGTACAGTAGTGTGCATTCTTAAAAGATCTTTTCAGGTAAGACACTTTATATGTCCACATGTTGTGAAGATGCACTCTCTCACCAATACAAACAGATGTACTTTTTGACTGTTGTCATTGCCCACAGAATAATGCCATCTGGTCATGGTACAGGCTTCACATGGATTCTGTAGTTTAGGCTACAGGTGCCATCAGCTCAGGTTTTCCTTCAGTTCCCATTAAATGCAATTTGTAGCTCTTGGCATAAAGAGACAGGAAACCAAAGGAAGCTGAAGTGTAACTGGTAATGATACTTGAGTGCAAGCATACCAGGTCGGTGAGGGATGAATGACTCCTAACATGCATTTTGAGCATTTGAGAATGACTTTCAGTAGTTAAAAAAGCTTTGTAGTGGATATTGGCAGATTACTGAGGGTTTTTTTGTTGCTTGTTTTGCAGTTATAAGAATTGGAAGTAAGAGACTATCACTTGATAAAACTGTCTCTCCTCATTGGCTGCCTACTGCTATAAAAAAGTTTTAAAGCCTTGCTTGGTAGAACAGCTTTTACTTTTTACCTTGCTACTTAAATAAAAAGTTTCCCAGTTGATTACTGTTGTCTCTGTTTTCTGCATCAAAACCTGAACGACTTATGTTCATGTCTGGGGAGCTACTTGCTCTGAACGGTTAAGGGTCACTAGTTTGTTAGACAGTTAAGGTCAACAAAGGTGTTGATGGGAATGTAGTTGTGGATTTTCATCTGGAGCAGAGTGTTACTGAAGAAAATATATGTGTTGTTAGGTTACAATGTAATTTGAGGTTCAAGCTGTGCCTTCAAACTTTAGGTATTATACCAGCTGTTTGGATGTTGAAATGTTACATCTGTGTCCATATCCTTATCCCTTTCACTCAAACCTAGTAGTGCAGTTTCACCCAAACTTTGTTTAGAGTTATGTGGGGAAGAAAAAGAACCGTTTCCCACACTGCTTAGTGCAGCTGATGGAAGAAATGCTGTGGAATGTTAGCCAACAGTCAGTCTGGTTAGATCTCTTAACTGTTTATTTCCATACACTTTCATAACAAAATTAGAAATTGTTTAACAAGGTCATTCTGTTTGCAACAGAATCTTCTACAAATCAACATGTTTATTTTGCTAAAATACCTAATCATGAGAAGGTGAAAGTGATACGAAGGTGGATTTCCTGTCAATCACAGACTTGAGTGAGAAATGGTTAAGTCTTTAGAGGTAATATTTTTCTAATTGAACTTAATAAAAATGTTGTTGGCCATGAAGGAAAATGACATAGTATGCAAATTATGTAAATAGAAACAATTGTATTTAGAATTTTTATTTAAGGGATACTATGCTCACTTTTTCGAAGCCATTTTGGGCCACAATTGAAAATGGAAGGGGTGTAAATGGGGACACTCTTCTGTACCATGGATCTCTTGATGAAGAGCTCTTATAGACAGCAGCTGAGTCAGGGAATGGAAGAGGGGGATGAAATTTCTTCTGAAGCCAGGCTGCTGGTGGAACCTTAGGAAGAAATTGCTGCAGTTATAGAAGGTAATTTATTTTCTTACATATTGCATGGTTCTGCACTGCTCTTAGAATTCTCCTCTTTGGTAATTTTGTTGCATTATGTGTTCCAGGCATGTCTTTGTTATTCTTTAGCTTTAAACCATGAGAGAAGGAGATAATGTGTCCTGGTTTTCCCTCTCACATATTCCTCCCTCTTGGTTCCTTCCAAACAGTCTGAATCTGACAAGGGTGTTTCCTTGTACCACGCTCTCATTCTGTTTTTCCTGGTTCTGTATCATAATTTTACTGCACTTCCATTCCTATTTGGACAAGGAAAAATGGTGAAAGAACTACGCAGTTTTTATTAAATATACAGTGTACCTGTATTCCTCTATTGAAAACAATTGTAATATCCTCTCATGAAGTTTCTAAATCTTTTCTCAAGATCATATGTTGGTTATGTAGCATACAGCGTCTCAAGGCATTTATTTGTAATGCTTTGAAAACCCAATCTCTTTATATATTTTTTAATTGATTAAAATTAGACTTTGAAATTAATTCATTAGGGAATCAATTAGTGGGTTGGGATATGATTGCACATAATTTTAAGAACAGAATCTTCTGCCTTGGAGAAGACTTGGAGGAAGGGAAGCTTGGAAATCTGGGCTTAATGTTTAGGATCATAGGAGAATTCAGGTTGGGAGAGAACTCAAGAGGTCACTTAGTTCAATCTTGTGCTTAAAGCAGGATGAGCTGTGAGGACCGGCCAGGTTACTTAGGTCTTTATCTGACCTGGTCTTGAAAATCTCCAAGGATGGAGGCTGCAGAACTTCTCTGGGCCTCTTTCATGGCTTGACCGTCCTCATTGTGACAATACATCCATTTTGAACCTCTCTGCAAGACCCTGTATTTCTGCTCAGTTGCTTATAGTTGCTCTGTACCCTATGTTGCAGTGTGATGTCTTTCTTCTCATCCTCATGGACTGCTGCCATCTGCACTAACTGCCTGCAGACACAGATGTTGCACTCTAGTACTGCTTTTCTTCCTGCTTTTCATCTTCACTGTTGTTCCCAAACAGACCTTGTGATTTTAACTGATGCTGCATGGTTCTAGCAGAAGTAGAAGCAGGGGGGAGGTGGCATCCAATTAGCTGGTCTTGTGGGCACTGTTTGTTAGAAAAGATTTAAGGGGAAGATACGTTTTTGGTAACTAAGTCACCAGAATCACAATTGCTTTATTATTTTGCTTTGTGAAGTAACATTCAATTACTTTTTAACGCATTTTTAAAGGAAGTCTCCAAGAATTCACCTCTGCATGACTAGCTGAGAACTGATCCAGCATGGGAGCCGGCTTTTCTACCTTTTGGCTGCTACCTAAGCGATGCAGTGTATTTGGATTAACAGAGTCCTCTTTCTGGTTTCTCAAAAAATAACCTGTCAGAATGCTGAAAGAAGTGCTGCAGTCAGTAACTATTGGCATCTTCCATGGCATACCAGACTGCAAAAGTTTTGGTTTCTGTAGTAATATTGTGGATGATGGTTCATTCTCCTTTATTTTATTTTTTGGGGCTTTTGAGTTTGTTTGTTTTTTTCCTTAACAGGTAAATAGAAAGCTGAATTAGGGTATTTTTCACTATACTGAAATAAAGGAACCCGGCTCATTGTAATTTATTTTGTTGCCACAGCACTTGATTCCATTCCCAAGGTGCTCCATTGCTCCTCCCATTGTTCAAGCAGGCACTCTTTAGGGCTTCATGTATGCTGGAATTCAACTTGCTTGGCATTTTCACAATCCATAAATCAGTCACACATTAGCGAAGTATCTCAAAATGTCCAAGATCTAAAGCCTCAAGTTGCTTTGACTGCACATGCACTGTGATTAATGTACATGCTGCATCCCTTAGCTTCAAGCTTTCTTTGGTCCAGACATAACTGTTTGCTTTAGCAGCCAGGGCTCATTTTGCAGACACAAATGCTGTCTGAGAGTGTGTAGACAAACTCCTGGAGGCTCCTACAGTAAGTGCTGACTCTTCTCTCCCTCTTCCCTTGGTTACTTTCTGTAGCTCTGTTTTGTGACTGATCTGTTTTACAGTTAGTATATCAGGGATGTGATGGTTATAAAACATTACAACTGGGCTTTGTAGAAGGGTTCCCAAGGCAACACTGCTTACTTAAAACATGTAATGTTCAAGCAAGACACATAACCTGGTGTGTGGCTTCTTGCTGTTATTGAGTAGTATTTTTGTTTTGAATCACTGTTTGAGTCCAGGTTGTGAGCTGTACTTTTCCAGCTTGTGCTCTTACTCTGTAAGCAATGTCCTACTCAAGCAATCTGGATGTTAGAACTAAGTTCCTCCTTAGCCAGTTTCTCTCTTTGAGGCCTCCTCTGTCTATGCTCTGTGTGCCATAAGGAGCCACCTTCTGAGAAACTGCTTATCTGAGAAATCACTTGTACTATAACAGTATCTTTCACTCCACATAGGACTGGAACCATTTGTGAATGTGGTGAAAACCAAATAACTTCTATGAATCTGTGCAAACCAATAGTGAGAAAAGGGAGAGAGGCATGAAAGTCCAGTGCAACAGTGGCCACAGAATCCAGAAATTCGACAGGGAGATGGTAGGCATTGCTGCTTCAAGTGAGAACAAGAACTGCAGTCTTTTCCAGGGTCATAGCCACATAACCAGATGTGTTACCTTTATGCAGTCATATTATTAAACCATATTGTATGGTCTGGGTTATGAGAAAGTATTTCAAAGGTTTAACACTTTATGCCTGCAGCAGCAGGAACATGCTCTGAGATTTTAACTTGCTGCCCCCCTGG